TGAGCTTTTTGAGTCTGGATCTCTCAAAGGCTTTGGTCAACAGATCGGCTAGTTGGGAACTTGAGCTAACATGAGACACTTTGAATACCTTCGACTCTATTTTTCTTTGATGAAGAGTCAATCAATCTCTACATGTTTTGTTCTATAATTTTGGATAGGATTTAGTCATCCTTATGGCTGATGTGTTATCACAAAACATCTTCATTGGTAAGCTCACTTCTTTCTTGAGGTCCTTAAGCAACTTCAATAACCAAATACCTTCACACGTTCCATTTGCTAACGCTCTAAATTCAGACTCCACATTGCTTCTTGAAACAACCTGTTGCTTCTCCAAGTCACTAAATTCCTCCACACATAAGCAGCAAAGCCTGTAGTGGATCTACTATCCGTCACTGGACCTCCATAATTAGCATCAGTAAAGATCTCCATACTTCTACTATTTCCTTTCTTGAAGAACAACCCTTCCCAAGAGTCATCTTTAGGTGGTGCAGAATTCTGAAGACTCCATTCATATGTTCCTCATTTGGGCCACTCATAAACTGTCTTGCCACATTCACATATATGTGACAAATAAATCAATTCCCCACAAGCCTTTTGTACCATTTGGAGTCAACAGGTGGAGGAGTCTTGTCCTCCTTTATTTGCAACTTTGACTTGTAGTCTCCCTCCATAGGTGTTCTCAAAGGTCTGAAGGTTAACATTTTTGTCTCCTTTAGAAGATCTAGGGTTTATTTCTGCTGAGATACTGAAATTCCTTCTCATCTGTCCCAAATTCTTTATCTCAAATTCCTTTGCCAAGCTATTCACTAGGCTCTAAACTTTTGCATCTTAATCACCAATAGCAACAATGTTATCAACATAAACAATCAGGATTGTTGCCTCTCCACTGGAGTTATGCTTCACAAACGTGTGATCTGTTTAACGCTACAAAACCTTCGTTTTTTATTGCATATGTGAACCTTTCAAACCATGCTCTGGGAGATTGTTTGAGCCCATAAAAGGACTTCTTCAACCTACACACCTTATTTCTTCCTACTATTTCATCTAGGCCGAGGGGATTTTTCATGTAGACTGCAAGGTCTCCATTCAAGAAAGCATTCTTGACATCTGTTTGGTGTAACAACCAATCTAGATATGGTGTAACGGACATGAGAGCCTCATCTGTATTAAGTATGCAGTTGGAGCAAATGTCTCTTGATAATCACCCTTGGGCTACCAAACTTGCCTTATGATGATTAATGCTGCCATCAGGATTGTAATTCCTGATGAACACCCATTTACAACGCACAGTTTTTTTTTTTTGGGATACAATTACCCATTATTCATGTAGGACTATATTAAAGCAAAGCTCTCCCATTATGTACAATGCACAATTGTTTTACCTGGGGGTAGATTGATAATTTCCCAAGTATCATGTTTCTCAAGTGCCTCCAATTCTTCCTATATTAGATTTCTGCGCTCAGCTTTCTTATGTGCTTCTTGAACGTTTGATGAGATTTCTTCCAACGATATGCTATGTACAAATGCCTATAGTTTTGGAGACAGCTTGTCATGTGCAACAAAATTCTGTATGGGATGACGAACAGGACACCTCCTCACTCATGTCCTATAGGCAACTCATCATCTTTCTTTTCTACGTTAGCATTTGGAGTAGGAGAATCAAATAGTCCTTGCCTCAAGTGAGTGTTTCCACTAGATTTTAGATCCCTTCTTCACTTGGTCTTTCTCCTTGTCCAACCTTGCTTCTACTGTAGATGCATAATTGTTGCTGCTATATGGGACTTTGGTGAGGGTTGGCTCTAGCATTGGGCTCAGTTTCAGAGGGTATAGTATCTAGGATAGGTGTTCTTGGTTCTGATTCAAAGATGTCAGGGTCTAAAGAGACTATTTTAGGGTCTGATTCACTTTCTGGGGTTAGTACAGGGTCGAAAGGTGGTTGTGTAGGCGCTGTTTCAGTGGGTACAGGTTCGGTTTTCACTATTTGCTACTGTGTGTAGTAACATTGTAGGCAAACAACAAAGAGCGAGCAACTTTGTGAAAGGCATCTATTTTTTCTTAGCCACTGTATTTTGTTGAGGGGTTTTCACACATGATCTTTGATGAATAATGCCATGGTGAGATAAAAAAAGTAGTCATTGTAGAATTGACATGCTCTCTCCCATTATCAATCCACAAGATCTGTATTCCCATTTGGTATTGATTTTTGATAAGGGTATGAAGGTTTTGAAAGATAGGAGGCACCTAAGATTTTTCTTCAAGTAAATAAACCCATGTGATTCTTGCATGGTCATCAATGAAGGTTGCAAAGCACCTAGCTCCATTTATGTTTTTGACGCTAGATGGTCCCCTGACATTGCTGTGAATTAGGGCAAAAGGTTGAGATGGTTAATAAGTTTGAGGTGGGTATGATGTTTTGATATTGATATGCTTGGAAAGTTTGACAAATATCACATTGAAAGGAAACATAATTTTTATTGCTAAATGTGGATACATCTTATTCAAATAAGAAAGGCTGGGATGCCCTAACCTAAAATGCCATAAGATGGCATCTTTATTTGGAATGGAAAACTCCTAGGACTTTTAAACTAGGAGAGACCACTGCCCTCGTTAACACTGCTAATCCTCTTCCTTGTCTCCAAACCCTGAAAAAACACAACGGTATTCATCAAAGTCAATGGCGCACTTGGAGACATTAATAATGGTACTAACCAGAAATCAAATTACAGTCAAGAGAAGGAATGACGAGGACATGATCAAGAGTTAAATTATCATTAACTTTGGCCTTGCTAATGCCCATTTTCGCAGCTTTGGAACCATCAGCAGCATTCACAAGGGAATGCGAGGTGCTATTGGAGAAGTCATAAACTGGAGAAGTATTACTTCTTGTGTGAATAACATCAATCTTATTGAATCACAATTCAAGTCTGTACGCTAGACTTTTTTATCAGCATTAAACTGAATAAATAGATATCCCAATCTTATCCAAATCTCAATAATATAATAAATCATATCTAAATCTATTTAAATCATAATTAATATCCAAATAACTAACAAATATAACTAAATCTTATCTAAATTCATAATTTTGTAATAATTACCTTTTAGAACAAGATGTTTCATAGTTAAAAGCACACAACGAGCATCCTTATTTCATTAGTTGAGGTCAGCTATATGAATTATATGATGTCATTGTGCTCTATCATTTATCAAACTTTTAGAAATATTGTTAATTAAGTGGTCTTGGTCAACAATTTTCAAAAGTTCTCTCTGGCCTTCCTTTACTCCTTTTAACAGGGCTCAAAGTTATTTGTTTTACTCTCCTCATGGGTGCCTTATGTGGTTTTTTTTGTATATGTTTAAATCATTTCAAGATTTATCATTTTTTCCTCAATAAGTGCTACGCTTAGTTTCTCTTGTATGTATTCATTTCAAATTTTATTTTTACATGTATGTCCGCACGGCCATCTCAACATTCTCATCTCTACTTCTCTAACTTTATTCTTTTGTTGTCTTATCGAAACCTAACATTCACCACCATATAACATTGTTAGTCTTATAGTAGTTCGATAAAACTTTCCTTTAAGTTTATTAGGTACTTTACGATTGTAAATAAATCCTTTAGCCTTTCTCCAACTAAAACCACTTAGTTTATATCCTATGTATAATATCCCCATCAATTTTCCCATTATGTGGAATAATAGCTTCCAAATATATGAACTTTTTTGCTTAAGGCATAATCTGACCTTCCAACTTGACCTCCAAATTACTACCGACTGACTTCTTATCAAAATTATTATACAAATATTCCATCTTACTCCTACTTAAGTGAAAATTTTGACTCCAATGTTGTCCTCCTTAATTCAAGTTTACAGTTAATCTCCTATTGTCTCCGTGATAAGAAATATATCATCCGTAAAAAGCATGCATTTGAGGATTTCCTCTTGCATATACTCAATCAAAACATCTAGGACCAGGTTAAATAAATAAGAACTTAAAGATTATCCCTAATGTAGTTCAATCCTTGTGGGAAAGTTTTTTATTTCACCACCAGACATTCTTATACTAGTTGTTATCCCCTTATACATATCTTGTATGGCTCTAATATTAGTAGCTCAGACTTCCTTCTTCTCCAAGGCTTTCTAAAGTACTTCTCTCGATACACAGTCATAAGTTTTGTCTAAATCAATGAAAATCATATGTAAATTTTTAACTTTGTATCGATACTTTTCTATTAATCCTTTTAGTAGATAAATTACTTCTATAGTTGCCCTACCTGACATAAACCTAAACTAATTATCAAAAATATTAATTTTCAATCTTAACCTATGCTCAATCACTCTTTTCCACAATTTTATTGTATGAGTCATAAGTTTAATCCCTATATAATTAGCACACAAGCAAAAGTTAACTTTTTTTCCATGCACGTAACATGTACTTTTATGATGGATGTTTTGATTTTTGTCCCCAACCAAATGATTACTATCAGAATGAATATACTAGTAGTTCAGTTGGGTTCCTAATAGGATTGACGTACTGACCTGGTATCAGGTGTCGCGAGATCATCACTTAGTTTTTCTCATTTCTCGAGTGTTATGGGAAAAACATAGTAATGTCGTTACTGGCAATTAGTGACAGTTGGAGGTGGGTTTGACATTGATATAGTATTAATAGTATTATCTATTTGCTTGCGTATGTGTTGTGTGTGTCTATGCCATGCCCTTTGTCATTTTGTGAGGCGTACGGACAATTTACCTGTTGATAATGTTTTTGTGCAAGTAATTTTTTGTGGTGGTAGATTTTGATATATAGTACTTTAGTTTTTTTTCATTTTAGCCTTAGTTTTCTTCTTCACTCTTGGAAGCTGGACCTGTCTGAGGAGCGTGCTCTAAATTATAGATCTTACTCTTTATTACCCCGTGACAAGCGATCTATTTATTTTTGTTATAACAATTTAAACTCCTTATTCTTCTAAGCTTTGCTTAACCACGTCACTTTTGCAGGTTTCTTGACCAAGTTAACACAACTCTGGCCTATCTCCATCCAATTAACTGCTCGAGAGAGAGAAAAATTCATCTGGTGTTTGACATGACAACAATCCCTGCCTTCTTGATTGTTATAGGGTGCCTTTACTTGGTATTGAGGCCAAGGCGACCAAAACCGAAGATTAACTAAGATTTCTGGCCACAATTATGAATTTCATACAATTGTTGGGATTAATAGCATTATAGTAACGGTTTCCCCAAAGTGTAATAGTTTGGCCTTCGTGTAAAAAGGATTTTCAATCATATATACAAAGTCGTCCATAGTTTTTGTAGAATGGCTGCTGGCATTATAGGTGGGGTCTACAAGTAATAGAACAGTCCAATTGAAATAATAATAATAATAATAATAACAGAAGCTGCTTTAAGGTTGGGGATCCGTTGCCAAAACTAGTGAGAGATGGCTGACAATGCTAGACCCGAGGTCATGAATGTGAAAACGTTTTTTTATTGTAGGACTGGCAAATATAGGTTGGGCAAGGAATGTTGATAGATCAGATTTGGTTTGATTTTGATCATGCTGCTCTAATCGATGTAGAAAAACTAATGTATTTGGTTTTGCATTTCAATTGATTTGGTTCCATATTTTTTTCCTTTTTGGTTATAGTGAATTTGAATTAGTATGGTTTCATATTCAATTTCAATTCAATTTATTCAATTCAATTTCATCCAATCATGATTGCTTAAGTTGATTTTTGCATGCAAAAGCTAGTGTAGGTAATTTAATATGTTTCAATTAGTCTATTATAATCTTGAATAATTTATGACAATAGGGGAATTACACCATCCTCAATCACAAAAGAAATTGTTCAATGAAAGCAATGTCGGAAATTAATAAGTTCCATTACCATATGAAGCACTTTTGTCACAGGGAACATGAAAATGTCAATGTTCTTGGTGAAATTGTGCGAGTATCTCAAATTCCCAAATTTTTTGAGCAAATCTTTCACCTTCCAAGATGTTTTCTTACATGCAAGAATAACAAATATCAGTCCTTTTCTAAGATTAGTATATCAGTTTATTTCAATGGAGAAGAGTTATAGAGTCTAACCTGGTAGGTTAAGAAATTACAAAGTTATCCTTTCTTTGCAAATGATTGGCTTTGCTCCATTATCTACTAAAACTAAAGCTTCGCAGCAGAAGAGAGGATTGAGCTCCACTCCATCTTCATTGCTTGCTTTAACTTGATGTTCTTCCAGTTATAGGACAAATTATGGGATCACTCTATCATCAATGTAGGTATTGATTATCAGCTGGATAGATTCTCCTCGGTCAATTTTAAAATCTTTACATGCTATTGTTAACACTTGGCATTTTGTCAAGTATTTCTTTTTAATTTTTTAATTTTTACATTTTTTATCCAACTATGGTATTGTATGGCCTTTATTTTGATAGTTGAAGAAGGGGGAAAAAAGAATTAGGCAATATGGGATTTGTGCATCTCATTGTTGTGTCAAGTATTTAGGACAAATAATGGGATCACTATATCATCAATGTAGATATTGATTATCAGCTAGATAGATTCTCCTTGGTCAATTTTAAAATCTTTACATGCTATTGTTAACACTTGGCATTTTGTCAAGTATTTCTTTTTAATTTTTACATTTTTTATCCAGCTATGGTATTGTATGGACTTTATTTTGATACTTTAAGAAGGGGAAAAAAAGAATTAGGCAATATGGGATTTGTGCATCTCATTGTTGTGCAACGGCAGGGGCTATGCTAATCTTCTTTGTATACAACATTGAAAGTCCTTGCCTTGTAGGTTCTAACTAGTTCTTCTTTTTATTACAATCTCGATTTATAACATGTTGTACCATTGGGGGTAGGTTGCACCACAAACCTAAAGATCCTGGTGTCTCTATACCTTGGGATAAAATTGATCTAGGTGAGGCCCTTTAACATCACTCTTGAGCAAATACAACCGTTTTAGGATTCTTAATTCCTTGATATAGAAACCTTGGATCTCTAAGTGTAGTAACATAGCTCACACTCATGGATTGTGGTCAAATTCCTTCTAATGCATAGGTTCCTCATATAGACAAGTGTAGAGCATAATTGAATCCTTATATGAGAGAAGTAAGATACTATTAAATCAAACTTTCAAGAGGTATGAGAGAATTTAAAAGAGAGACATAAGGAACGCACTGATCTTATTTTCTTAGTAGATTGAGTTTTGAGCAAGTGCTATCTTACAAGATGACTGAAGCTCCCTTTTATAGATGAAGGGAGGAAAAAAACAACACACACCATTATTACATGTTTGCTAACTTTTCTAAGAGCAAAGTAGACATGACTAAAACCAAAAATAGGCTTGATAAAAGCAAAAGTAAAAGCAGCTTGTATAAAAGCTGCAACTGAAAAATCCTCTTCTATCTCGATCTTCTTCCTATTCTATGTTTTGCCTAATGCTGGCATTTCTAGAGGCGTTGAATTCTTCCACCTTCGCCTGTGTTGATGGTATGTCAATTTCTTCTCTCTATTTTTTTCTTGCTTTGTGTTGCAAGTCACTCATTTACATGGGTTGTCGCTCATTTCATCAATCCACCATTTATACACATCTTCAGCTATTCTTTATTTGCTTCTATTAGAGTTGTGCAATGGGTCCTTCTAGTTTGGTGTTGAAATAGTTGACTCAGTTCTTGATTGCATAAATGCCCGATTTGTTGGTCATTCCATTTTCCTTGTAATGCCGCTCTTCTGCTTCTTCTTGATTCTAATACTGCCGTCCAATGTGCATAACGGTGGGAGGCATTAAATTTTTCTCTCTTCATTTATTGCTCTGCTGGTGAGTAAATCTCACCCCCTTTTTTCCCTCATTTGATGTAACCTTCCTGAGGTTAAAACATACTTTACTCCAATTTTCATGGTAATCCTGAGCTTAACCCTCAAGAATTACCAAACTGTGAGGTTTAAAAATCAATTTCTCAAAATTTAATTCAAGGAATCCCAATTATCAACTATTCAAATCTCAAACATGTTTTATGGACTCCAAATCATAGTTTTAAACACAAAGCAGAAGCTTGGAAGACAATAGAATCCAAATAATGAGTTTCTAAACTCAAAACAGATTTTCACACAAAATTTGACACGTGCATCACGGCTTATGGTTCGTGCATCGCAGCGTGTCTCCTCTGTGTCATATGCCACAGTGCATTGCATGAAATTTGACAGATCAGTGCTGTCATTTGACAACACAGGCAGCAAACTTTTGACGCATCTCAAATCTCTGTTCGATGTCCGATTGAGGTGATTTTGGTATGTATATGGAGCTTTCTCCTAACTCTAGCTAATGGCATCGGTTTCACATTCAAATTTATTTTCTATCAAAAGTTGGATACCATAACCCATTTTGATACGTTTTCACAAAATTTCTCAAATGGGTGTCCCAACTCACTCACACGTGCCAATAGCCTACACCAACCCTCCGATCACACTCAATGGACTCTTGTCGACTCGTGCAACACACCACATATAACTAAAAACGCTTGTTTCACAAAATATAGAGGGGGAGGAAAAGTTGCACAAAATCAACCTTTTCATTCATATTTCTCAAAAAAAACATATGTTTTTACTTACATAAGTATTTTGGCCCTATTCTCGGGTTCACAACAAAAACTCATTGATCCAGGGCACAAAATACATTAGTTAAATATAAAATCATGCAAGTAGTACACCAAACATGACAATTGCTCCTAGTTGGCAAATACATTAACAATTACACATGTATACTACTAAAGAGAGACATTAAGAGGATTTACTCCACAAATCTTAAGTCTTTGTGTGTTTTTCCCGACTCGAATCTAATGAGCTAGTCCTTGAAAATATTGAAAATTTGAGAGGTGAGTACAACCACTCAGTAACTAAGTTTCACTTAACCCTTACAGCTACATGTTAATTGTAAATAGATGCAAATAGACACATAACACAAATATCATGTTGTTTTCAAAAACATAACTCAGGGTAGTAAAAATAACAACCATGCGCCCTTAACACGTGCCAAATCGCAAAACTAACAATCATGTGGCCGAACTTATATGCATGATTATGTGTCAACCTTATGTCCTCCTGTTACCTCTGACACGAAATCGGTGGTTATCACGTGACTACATCCTTCACGGACTAACCCAACCTTCCACTTGTGAGGAGCTACCAGGCCAGGGTTAACTCACTCACTTATGTAATCTAATTTCCCCTAATACTAACAACTATGGGGTGTCTACCCCTAATCTAGCCTCCTCATGAACCAGTGGAGACTAGTTAGGTTTGAGTCCCTCGTAGAACAAATGGGACAGTTCCGAATCAATCATGAGATAAGGGCTACCTCCTGATTTCAACGGTCAGTACCAAGGCTAGTTCCCAATTTCAATGATAACTGTTAATACTACGTGGATTTCAACCAATCTACTCCTTTCCTTAAGTGAACTTCCGCCAATGATCATGTTATGCACATTTCACACATAATATGCATTTAACAATCATTTCTCAAACAATGAACTCATAACACATATGCTCATAATTAACTCATATTTCATTACAATTCTCCACCTATAGTAATAAATCACAAGTAATTTCATAAAATATCAAGGGTGGTAGAATCAAGGTTTTCTCTTCTCCAAAACCATTTTACAATCAAGTATTTGTCAATATGCATCATCAATTCAACTCATAAATCACATTTCACAAAGAATTAACATTCAACTATAAAAATTAAGTTTCCCTTGATTACCTCAAACCTTTAAAAGGTCAAAGGTTTACCCCTCATTGTATTAACTTTCCCGAGCTTCAACAAGCTCAAAAGGTGCCAAGATAAACCTCTCTACAACCAAATCATAAGGATATCATCATCATCTAGCTATTTAAGCTCTATCAATATAAAAACTCCTCATACACTATTTTATCAACTCATAACCACTACCTATTCACACCCAAAGGGATCATTAGATTCCACTAATGCACATTATCATTAATAACACCTCAAACCATCATTAATGCATATTAACCTCTCCCAACTACCTCATAAATACCAATTTTTGGATATTAAATGCTCCTATAGACCAACCACTTCCAAAATCATCAATGTGGTGTTCTAATACATTAAATCACTCCTATTAATCTCATTTAAACCAATGGAATCAGACTCATACTCCTATGGACTAAAAATCCATCTCCCAACTCAAACCCTACCATAACTAATCATAAATGAGAGAGGGAAGGGAAGAAGAAAACACCATAATCTTATCTTGGGTGTTTGGGAGCTTCAATCTATCCACAATGG